AAAAAAAAAAAAAAACATAGCTCGTCTGATAGTGAGCTTGGCTAGGAACCAGGCGATTCGGGTTCAAATCCCCGGTTTAACAATAAAATATTAATTTTTTTGTCACGGCAGTAGTTAAAAATTTTTACTGTGCTTCGTTTTTTTACCGATAAATTACCGACCAATGTAAAAAAGAGACAAATTCTGATAAACTGCCATATCAATGAGTGTTTTCATTCATTTTGTCCAACTTCACTAAAACTTCACATTAAGACTTTTACTAAAACATTTTGATAAAAGTTAAAGTCAAATTTCGGCCCTAGATTGTATAAAAGTTGGACTGCAACTTAACGTTAACTTTTACAATTGGATGGCTATCAGGGGAGGTCATTCATCAGTAGATTTTACCCCTCATATTTTTCTCATACTGGGCGCCTTATATATGAAAATCGATTCTTAAGGAGTAAACTCCAAAAACTATTTTATAACAATAACATGATTATTACTCAACGTTATTGTAAAAAAATTAAAAATAAACAAAATAGAAATGTAACACGAAATAAAATTTTTAAAGATTACATTTTTTTTTTACCACTAGATTTTGTAGCAAAAAAAACTTTCTGCGGATAAAAATTCTACTAATCTAGAGAAATCGTTGAATCTTACCTTAATCTATATCAAGTAAACTATAAAAACAATTGATTACTCGTAGATTCTATAAACTTGAAATGAAAAGAGAGAAGTAAAATGAAATAAATGAATGATGAAAAAATAAAATAAAGGGCAGTAAGGTAAAAGCCCCAATAGATGATCACTGATCACGTACCAGTATATGATCACTCCATGTATTTGTATACCTATATTTGTGAATATAGATATACAAATACATGGAGTGATCATATACTGGCACATGATCATCTATTGGAGCTTTTACCTTATTACATTGCCTCAAATTTAATTAATGTAAAGTAAAAATTTTTGTTCTGAAATCATCATTTCCTAGCATATTTAAAAAAATTTATCGCATGCTTCTTATCAAAAGTCATGATTACATAAACTTTTTTTATTTAATAATTTTTTCTTACTATTTCAGATGCCTATTCGAATCCTATTTGTCATAGTTTTGCGTGTATATAAATAAATGATAGCTTTTCTCACTGGTTTGTATACAAATCCGTTTCAAGGATTATAGATTGTTTATTTATTTATGCCAGTATTCAAGATCGCTTTTTTTTCATTATTTTGAGGATTATATTATTGATTTTTTTTTTCTAAGATTCTCAAACGTTTATATTTTTTTTTATTATCGAATAATTTATTCGCTTTATACATATATATATTTATTTATTTTTTTTTTGTTGAAGTTATTATGAATAGTTGTTTTATGAAATGCAGCTGCTTACCAAGGTCACGCAGTTGAATAAAGAGTTACACTGGCTATTTGTTGATTTGCCATGACTTCAATTATGGCATCGCGTATACCATAACAGAAAGTACAACCAAAGGGATTCGTCGTATTTGTAGAAGACGCACGATTCAATACTACTGGACGAGCCGTTGCTTTTAACTGCTCACTTATTTTATCCCACTTCGTATAGGCAGTGATCTAAACTTATGATTAAATAAATTATTTTGTACAATCATGTGAATATTTGTTAATTAACTATACTATGTTGTATTTATATTACCGTGATTGGAGATGGGCTAACATCGATAAGTTTACCAGAATCATTGGAATTATTTTCAGGAGGTAGTGTAAGAGTAAACTCACAACGGTGATACATATTAAAATTATAATGTCCTGGATAGTTTGTATGTAATACAAATTTTTTAACACATTGTGTTTTTGCATCAAATAGAACATCCTTTTAATAATAGTAATAATAATAATTATTATTACTACTCAAATAAAGTACAATTATAAATTAAGGTAAAAGCCCCAATAGATGCTCATGTACCAATATATGATCACTCCATGTATTTGTATATCTATATTTGTGAATACTGATTTGATGTACTGGTACATGAGCATCTATTTAGGCTTTTACCTTATATGCTAATAAAATAAAATAAAAAATATTTTACCAGACCCAAAGTAAAATAATTGTAGAAAAAATCGGACCGCCTTGTTTTATCTTTTTTATGTGCATGCGGACTGTGAATTCGCATTTTGTCTTCTGCTTTAAAAAATACACGTGAAGGTGCTCCGAGTGCACTCAAAACATCTTCACAGTAATCTCCAAACCATACCTAATTTAGAAGAACAATTTATTTTTTTTATTATATAATTAATAATTAATAATAATAATAATAATAATAATAATTTTTTAAATTAGATTATTTTCAGCCTTATTGGTTACGTATGACCAATAAGGCTGAAAATATTCTAATTTAAAAAATTATTATTATTATTATTATTACTATTATTATTATTAATATCAACTTGAGAATGAATTTGTTAATTACATACCTCTTTCATAAGATTATGTTTTTTTGGTTCCAGTAAAACTCTCGTTGCTGAATTTCCTTCCGTAAATAGATGTAATTTTAAACCTCGCGTTCGCACTTTGTCTCTTATAATTTCTGCTTTTTCTAAGTACAAATTATTGTGATAACAAACCTGTAAATTAATAACAAATTAATTAATTAAAATTTGATAATTGTCTTATGTGAAGAAAAAATTAGTTTACTTGATTTGGGATAATTTAAAGATCGTACTAAGATCGGAAAAAACACACAATATGCGAGTGAGAATTTAGTTAAAAAACTGAGCATTTAGAATATTTTGAACAGAAATTCATCCGAAATAGTTATTCAATGAAAATAAAAACAAAATACCTAATATTGATAATTTCTATAAATCAATCACATGTAATATTTCATGATTTTTTTTTTATTTTTACCAAAGGCAGTGGTGGAGGTGGGGCCTTCAGACAGTGTTCTTCACTTCCAACCGATCCAGCAGCCATATTACCAACATAAATAGCTGTTTTAGCAACTAGTGGTGATGTTCCATTCGGAAATTGTAGAGAACCTAATCCGTGGGCATAACCAGGTTGAAACTTGGAATCAATTGGGAAATAAAATGACAAGCCACGAAAATTGAGCACAAAAACCTGAAGAAAAAAAACATTATTACATCTAGTCAGTTTAGAAAATGAATACCAACATTGCGTTGAATAAAAGGTTTATGAATCATCAAATAAAAATTTAGATTTTTGTATGATAAAATTATAACAATCAGTACCTGTTTATCACTGTCATAAACACCAGGATGAGTTGCACCAAATGAATGTTCAATTTGTTCTATAGACGGCAATACTTCAGGCGAATTAAATGGTAATCCACAATATTTAAGCTTAACCAATTTCATGTTGTAAATTTCAATAATTTTAAGCCTTTGAACAATAGGATCAAATATAAGCCGTATTCCATCGTATGGTAAATTTATTACTAGGTCTACTTCTAATGGATTCTGAAAAATTTTTATTATGAGTAAATAAATATAGTTAGTATTGTCACGTGATACAATAAAAAAAATATTAATAATCAATATAATAATAAGTATCCTTACCGTATCGCTATAAAGAACTTGTACTCCACGAATAATGCCCACTTGTGACTGTATTATGGATACCGATTGAGAAAAATGCATTCCTAAAATAAAGAAAAAAAAATTTATCATCACTATAAAAAGAAATTTATATATATATATATATATATTTATAAATACACTCCCAATGTAATGATTTTAATTAATTGACTTAATTAATCATATAAATATATAAAAATGATATGAATTCATATTTACTTGTTTAGACATTTATTTTATTTCATATTATTCATCATTTTTTATCACTGCATACAAAATAAAATTTAAGTTTTATTCAATAATTAACATATTTTTGCAAATAATGCCATTTAAAAAAAAATAAAAAAAGAATAGTAGTAAGTATTTAGTATTATAAAAAAATGAACCAATTATATAATAATCATAGTCCCTTGTATTTATGTTGTGATTGATTATATGTAATAATTGTCAAACTCTAAATGTGTACAAATGAAAGAAAATATAAAACATGATAAAAAAAACACACACACACACACACAAAGTATATGTACTAACAGAAATGTCAATAATCATAACAAAAAAACCAACGTAAACACTGGAATAAAATGTTTAAAAAAATAAACAGACGGAATACTTATTGATGAGTTAAATAATAGTATAATAAAACTAATATTAATCAATGTGTCTACGTCGTAATATGAATAAAATGGTAAACGCCTAAGAAATAAGAGTAGTAAATTTCGTCACTTGCCTAAAATAAATTCCCACTGCTCACAACCAATGGATCTTTCGGGCACAACTTCAAGTTCCAGCATTATTAATTAATTTATTTGTTAATATTGTTTATAATTGTTATGCCCTTTATTTATTAATAAAAAACGAAAACGTAATGACAATACACGTAATAATGTGACTACGCGCCAAATCAAATTTTTTTTCAACTACTGCGTTGTTTCTTTGTCTTTGGTAATGTAACGGACGTATACACAAACCAGGGACTTAGTGAACGGCCATATTGCCTTTTCTAACAGTTTAACTCCCACTACTAACCTTACGGCTGGCGAACTGTCACTGAACAGCTGATTTACTCCCCTCTTTTTCGACTATCATTATTATTATATCTATCTTCAAACTCAACACTTGTGTTAACTAACTTTTTACCCTTTTATTATTATTATTCTTTATTCATATTTCATACTATATCTGTTTATTATTTCTATATACTTACTTTTGATTGTTTTATTATACATGTATTAAAAATGTATCGTAATACATTATTCGTTCATGATACGAAAAGTGTGGACATAAAAAAAAATTTTTGTTTCAATAAAAAAAAAAACAATGATACAATAATAGACGATAATAGGCGTTTAAAAAATTTATTTCTGAAAATCGGAAACTTAATAATTTGTTGGTTTAATTTAATAACTTAATCAGTTTTCAGAAAATATTTAAAAAATATATTTGTCATTATTTTCATAAAAATAAAAAAAAAATAGAACACAGTAAAACTTTCTCATTTGAAAAGCCCAATTATTCTCAAATTAAATATCATTATCATTACGATACGAATGCATGCCTTAATCTCGTTATTGTCAATTTCATTACTCTCATATGGAAAAACTTTCCAGTACTCCGTCATTTTATACTTTATTTATCGTAAATAACTATTATCTGACACTTTTTTTACAGTCATCAGCGATGCTATTTTTTTTAAGATTTTTTTTTGTACCCATATGTTATTTCAATAAATTTTAAAAATGTCAGATGTCTCAGCGATTTTCAATATTTTTATTATTTTTATTTCTTGTAAATACATTAAATCCATTTTTTCTTTGTTTATAGCTTTATGGAGACTATACACTATAATATATATTCACAAATATAGGTATACAAATACATGGAGTGATCATATACTGGTACATGATCATCTATTGGGGCTTTTACCTTACTTATAATACTTTTTTCGTTTGATAAAAATAAATATGTTTTTTTTATCGTTTTCATAAAATTTGAAAAAAAAAATTTTTTTTATTTAATTTACAAATCTTACACTTTTTAATAAATTTTTTTTATTTTGCGATTAACCATTATGATTAAAAATAATTTAAATGTAAATGTTGACACCTACGTAATCGTTCTTGTTTTTCAATGATGTAAGAATATTTGAATAATTGTTCTATTAAGAAAATGATGCATGTAAAAGAAATTGTTTTCATTATTTTTGCACAAATAACTATTTTATGTCCATAGAATTAATAAAATTATAGTAAATTGAAAAACACTTCAATATAAAATATCATATATTTATTAACTGCAATTATTAATTAATTAAAAATTTTATTGTTGATGTAAATGATATTTACAATTTTGTTATGATGAGTTGTATTTTTCCTTTGTTTGATTTGAAATCTTATTTTGAAGTGCGTAATAATGTTGTAAAAACTTCCTTATCTACTGAGGTTAAGCCACGTTTTGTGTAGAGTGCACCATTATTATTATAACTATTATTGTTATTTCTACATCAGATGGTGCAAGATGGTGTTTGTAAGTCTGGCTTAACCCAACTTATTGATTCAATTTGTTGCAAATTATTTTGTGATAATTCGAAGTCAAACTCCTCTAATGAGGCAAATGGTAATTATTATTTTATTGATAATTAAGTTGAATTTTATATTTTAACGCTTATTTGTCACTTTAATCAGTTCACTTCAGTAATTAATCATCAAAGTATTTTTATACCACTACAAGTTGTAGTTAACTGTTGTACAGTTGAGCTTAAAAATAAATTTTCAAATTTCAATTTGCAAAATACATATTTTTCTTTCAGTCTTAAAAAAATAGTTGTTGATATTTTTATTCAAACATTTTTCCTTACTTAAATATTTTGAAGTGTTATGTAATAATTACATAGATACATAACCTATTTATATATAATTAAATGGTTGTTAATCTATATACATTCATCTATATATATATTATTACTAATATTACTATGTATAGACAATATTATTACAAATTATTAAAAATATAATACTGATATTACCAGAAATCTCATAATATTTTCAAATTCTGTATTACTGATTTACTTGTTGAATAAAACTAAAGATTGAATAGATGTCTGTTGATCTTAGTATCATCATAAAAATACTTACCATGAACTAATATAAGTAATTGTTATTTAAAAAACATTTGCAATTAAATTTTACACAAAAGCAAAGATATGTAAAAATATAATGCTTTTATGTTACACCAAAAAAGATGGATGAGATCAAAATTTAAAAAAAAAAATGGAATTATTGATCTAAATCGGCAAATAATTAATTATATTTATTTTATTTCAGATTAATGGGTGTTTGGTATAAAATAAAACGAAATCTAATTTCAATACTATTTCCAACGATAACCATTGCATTGATTCACGCAGATTTGCGTCATACCCGTTTGTGGAAAGAAAAAGTTGCTAAAGAGAAATTGCAGATACAAAATTCATAATGATATTCAAAAATCTTCATCCCATGCAAGTTAAATATCTGAAACATATACCAATTTACTTGACACCTCTATACATTGGCTATGGGATTGGTGCGTTCCTTGAAAACCACGAAAATGAAAGAATGGCCAGATTTCGTGATAAATCAGCACTTTATGGTAGAGAAAAGAAACCAGGTGAACCACCGTCTTGGCCATGAAGATCGACCTTTACTCAACTAATAATACTTGAAATTAATTAAATAACAATGTAGAAAGTATCATTTAAAATTTAAAATACAATTGAAATGATATGAAAAAAGAAAATTAAATACATTGAATTTTCAGTACTTATATTTTTTAACTTATTTAGTACATGTAAATGTTTCAAATTATATCTTTTTTGTTACAATAGATCTTTACATTTAAATTATATATTTATAGTTTTAGAACTACCGAAAATATCAGATATCTAATAGTTTCTATGTTTGAATTGGAAATACAAACGAACATAAAAATTTCAGAAAATTATCAATGCCTTTTTAAAAATTTTTACTCTATGAATAATTTTTTTTATTAAAAGTACAAATCGCTTAGATATTTGCTATTTTCGGTATGATTGAAATGAAGACAAAAATCAGCGAAATATGCTAAATTTTTTTTCTTTAGAATTTTTTTTGAGTGTTTGGTTTGAATTTAATTTCAAGTGACTACTATAATTTTCTTTATTACTAAAACTTTCAGTTGCCATTTTTTTAGCAGTTTGCAAATTATAAGCTTGTCTTTTTTTTTGTAACCACTCGTTAGATTCTTCATTCCAGGATATTGGACGATCTTTTGGCAATTTCTTATCTTTTTTAACTCTAAGACTTCCTTTATATTTTTTACCATCTTCAAGGTCTAAATAAGAATATCTTTTGTTTATATTATTGTCACTAATATTATCACTTTTTTTTCCATCTGCAACTCTAAGATCAATTAAACCATAATTTTGAAATTTAGTGTTTTTATCATAAGAATTTATAATACTATCACTTATACGTTTTAGAGTTTTTTCATTTTCATAATTACACTCAGGAATTTTATCATTTATAATTTTTTGATGGCGTTCACTGGATGATCTAGTAAAAATATAAGGTTTCTTAAATATTTCTGGATCAAATTTTCTTGAAGTTATAACTAGCGATGAATCACCAATATCAGCTGAAAGAGTTGAATCCAAGTCATCGTAAGTCATTTTTTGTCTTCGTTTGCTTCTACAACTACTGTAAGCACTTATTGGTAATGTATTTCTGCTCACTAAATTCGATGATGCATTTTCCAATCTTAATGCCTGTGATTGTAATGATCCGATATTGACAGTCACAAGAGAGCTTCGTGAATTAGGTGGATTTTTCATATGGTTATTCTCTGAAAAATTTACTCCCGTCGTCGATGAACCGCAGGATTTCAAATCTGTCTGCGCAGAAACTTCAGTCAATATTTTATCTGATTGCTGGTAAGATTCCAAACTTTCAGTTGAACTTAATAGTGTACTTACACCGCTCTTCGATGAAGAGTATGATGGGGCTTTAAAAAACTTGGTAAATTTATTTTCAATATCATTTAAATTGATTGTATCAATAATTTGAGATTTTCGCTTCAAATATAGTTCTGCATGATTTAGTTTATCTTTAAGTAATCTTTCGAGAATTCTTAATTCCTTTTCTTTTTTAAACAGTAACTTTTCTCTGTCGTATAACATAACTTCTTTATCTTTTATAACAGCTTCTCTCGCCCGCAATTGCTCCAATCTTTTCATCCAATTTATTTCAAATATTTCTTCAGTAACTGCTTCTGGACGTTTAGTTGTTGTTGTACAACCATTTTTATTTCCATGACAACATAATTCATCGCTACAGTCTTCAGGAGTTTCATCACGCTCATCAATTGACATCAAACTACTTGTTCTCATCGGTGGCTTAAGTAAAAGATATTTATTGTTATTATTAATGACATTTTGTTTCGGTAATAATTTTGATGTTACATACTCAGCAGTTTCAAAGCGTTCACGATATTTTGTGTATCCTGGCTTTTCATAACTTGAAGATGAATAAGGTACCTTATAAATAGGCTCATCAATTGCATTATATATATTACTATTAATAAAATAATTTTTCTTATCGTCTTTTTGAGCTAACTGATTATGAAACTCAGCAGGTTGTAATTTCTTGTTTTTCAAAAGAGAAAGTGGCACATCATAAATCACTTCTTGGCTGGGTTTCATTTCTTTGTCGTCTGTGTCATTAAATTTTAATTTTTTATTTGCGTTATCATTTTTAATAATCGGTAAATGATAAGTAGATTCCGCACTATCCACAACTTCATGTTTTATATTTTTATCACTACTACTTTCAATTTTAAAATTTTCTTCATTTTTCATTTTTGAAATTTTCACATCATCGATCACATTATTGTCATTTTTAACTTCACGATTAGAAACTGGTACTATAAATGCCTCTGATTTGTAAACTTTACTCATATTTGAAAGTAATTTAACAAACTTACAATGTCAACAAATGAGAAAAAAAAATCGTACATAAGTTTTTTTTTTTTATTGGTACTATTTATAATAATCGAAATAAATGCGTAGTATAATTCACAGGCAAAAAAGATGTTAAAAAGCGTTACATTTTCACATTATAAAAAGAATTCTAACCGGCGTTTTGTAACGGTTGGAATCGCAGAGGGTACCAAAGACTTTAACTAAAGTAACAACAATGCTGACTAATCTGAGAAATACTTTGCTTTTGGAGTAGAGGGGAAAAAACAACATCTTGGATCGGGGTCCGGTGGCAGGTTGGGTTGAGAAGCAGGTATAGAATTACCTGTTTGCAAGATCGTTTTGTGGGTTTAAACTTATATGTAACTATACATGTATTCTGCGTTTATTTGTGTGAGACTGAACTTCTTATTTTATTTTTAAAATCGCGTGCCAAGAGAAATTTTAAAATCCCACTACGTAGGAGGATGTTTACAATCATGAATCTTACGGTCCGTTATAATTAGTTTAATGAATTAAACAAACAATTTCATTTTATTTTAAAAATTTTCTGTAATTACGAATTACTAATAAACTCACTCATATTTTCCGATGATAAAATTTTGAAGGAAATTAAATACTGTTCGATTGTTAAAAAAAAAAAAATTTATAATTTATTTTTAAAAATAGAAAAGATTGTTTTACAAGTAATAATGCCTTATTAATTATACTTTAATTACACATTTTTTACAGAGCCTTTAACAATTTTGACATCGTCGATCGGTCGATCATTTTTATCAGTCTCGACTAAACCTATTCGCTTGACTATCGCCATCCCAGAATGTATTCTTCCTGAAAAATAGAAATATAAAATAAAATTATGAAATGTATTATGAAATAAATTAAAAAACTATTATTCTTTGGTGATTGTCTCTTTTTTTTTATAGAATAATTTCTCATCTAAAAATGAATTTTTTACGACCAGGAGTATATGTTGTAAAATTAAATTCAGGGTGGCGATTGACCTGGAAAACCTGGAAAACCTGAAAATGTCAGGGAATTTGAAATTTCTGGAATAGTTAGTGAAAAGTCAGGGAGTTTCAACTTGGGTCAGGGAAATTTCTAGTTTATTTTAAAAAATAAACTAGAATGCTGTAGAAATAATAAATTATTTCTATAGCATTCTAAAAATCGTACTGCAGATAATTTTTAATATTAATTGATGTTATTTAATTTCTTAATTTTTATATTTCATCTTTTTTGTGATCAATAATATTAAAAAAACTAAATGTATGGATAATTAATAATAAAAAAGAAGTATAACTTCTCAATGATTAATAATAGTAATAATATCAATTATTGTATTTTCAAAAGTTTAATTATTTAATTTAATTTTTAAAAGAAACTAATCTTTTTTGAATAGTTGAAAATCTGCAAAAAAGTATAACATAATTTATAGTTCCAAATTTTTACTCAATTCTGGATATTAGATATAAATTTTAGCATACAAAAATTATTTTTAAAATAATTTGCAATTATAACGGATATTTGAATAACAATTATTTTTTTGTAGGTTCTGGAATTTTATTTTTGGTCAGGGAAAAGTCAGGGAATTTTGAAATTAGTGTTGTCGCCACCCTCTTAAAGAACGGTCGTCCCTATCATAACATGCAAGGTGAATCTTTTGTATTAACAACAAAATTGTTTTTAATAAAAAATATCATGTTTTACTATAATACTCCTTTAATCAGATTAAGACGCCTAAATTCTTAATTAATCTAAATAATTAAACTTTTTATAGCAAGATAGTTCTCAATATTTTAAAATTTTATCGTTTATAACGCAAAAACTAAAAATAGCTATCTAAAAGTATGGAGTATGTTTTGTAAATTAGTAATGAAAAGTTTTAGTATGCACAGATCATCTCATTTAAGCTTATAAAATTTAATCAAAATTAGTGATAAAATAAAATTTAAAAAATAAATCATCCTCGAAAGTCACTGTAAAAACTTATAGGTATAAGCAAAAATAATCGTGCTTCTTGCAAGAACGATAATCCAACTTAGTGACACAAAATATATGAATTGGAATAAAATAATCGAATAGTGAATAAAAAAAATTACCAAATATTGCATGTTTGCCATCTAACCATTGAGTTGGTGCTAATGTTATGAAAAACTGTGATCCATTAGTATCAGGTCCAGAATTAGCCATTGAAAGTATTCCAGCACCTAAAATTATTATGATTTGAGATAAAATCGATAGTATACATATGAAGTATCTTGTGACACAAAATCAAGTATTTTTTTTATAAAACTCTCCAAATACACTAATTTTTTCTCATGTGATTTAGCTTTTTATTCCCAACAGTTATCGAGTAATTTTTTTTTAATTCTTGAATCATCTAAATAGAACCAAGTTTTTATTCAACGGTAAACTAAATAAAATTTAATTATATAAAAAATGAAAACATTGAGTTATAAATATACTTTTTTTTTGCACGTCGAAAGAATAATTTCAAGTAAAAGATAATCGATGCACTAATTTTTGGCATCGAAACATAAATATATACATCAATAAAATAGAAAAGGTAGATCTTGTGAATTACATGTATATAGAAAATAAATAAATTTGTTTTCAAGCCCAAAAATCTTTATAAAAATTAAACTTTTTAATCTACTACGTAAAAGAAATTCAATAAGGCCATTCAACATTTAAAATGAAAGTAGATTTCATATTTGAATAGCGTATCTTTAAGATTAATTTGCTTTAAGAAGTATGCGTAAAGAAAAGAAAATCGTAATATATTTTGATAATTGTTTGGAAATAGCGCCTAGGTACCTTATTTTTGGTGATAACTGATTAAATAGTATTTATTTTCGAAAATGTGTTTTTTTTTCTAGATGAAAAAATCTAATTTGAAATTATTCAATCCATGCAAAGTGTATATCTGTATATTAGTCAATTCAAATCATTTTGGATTGTTTCTATTCACTTCAAATTAGATTTCTTAATCAAGGTAGTTATTTTATTTCACGGCGGTTAAATGATATAAATCATTAAAATAGTCAAAAATAAATTTTTTTTGCTTTCGAAGCTTTTAATATTAACAAAAATTGTATACCGACTGAAAATCATCAATAAAATGTGCCCACTATGTCAGCTTGGTTACAAATAGTATTTTTTTTCTTCGTATTTTACGTATAAAATCATCAATAAGAAAAATTTCGAGTATGTAAATTAAATTTTTTTTTTTTCAAACTTACTATTTAATAGAAAAGCTGACACTATTGAATTTATGATACTGGAATTGAAAGACATCTGATAATTTTTAGAATTTTTTTTATAAATAAATTATATTTAAAAAAAATCATTCAAAATTTTCATCTTTAGAAGCTCTGAAAAATTATAAATGCAATATTTTAAAAATAATTTTCTAGACAGAATATATTTCTCAAGAAAAATCAAAAAATTGTCAAGTGTCTGCTAATTTCAGTATCATTTGAATTTAATGTACATTTAAAAATATTACAAAAAAATCAATGAGTTATAGTTATGTAAAAAAAACTCAGCGATTTATGACGGAATGTGCATACATAGAATGTCTTATGTCCACTTAATAACTAGAATAACCTCAATTTATAAAGTTTTTTTACCTGTGTGTTTTAAATCATCATGAATCTCGTCATCAAAACACTCGCCATAGATAGATACACCACCTTTTCCAGTTCCCGTAGGATCACCTCCTTGAATCATGAAATCTCGAATAACTCGATGAAACTTAGTTCCATTATAATATCCTCTCCTTACAAGTTCAGCGAAATTTCTACATGTATTTGGTGCATGTTTCCAGTATAATTCAATACCAATTTCACCCATGCTAGAAACATAAACAGAGTATATTAACTGTGAGGTTATAAACTATTTAGATAATGTACTTACGTAGTTTCTATTAAAACAAATGGCGGTTGCCAATGTTTATCAGGAATTCCAGAAATATTTGTTAATGCCATAGTATAAATTATTATAATGACACTGTGCTATTAACTAGTTGTGATTTTGTTTAGAAATAGCACGCGTTTTTTTATATATACATACATACGTGTGCATCAGTATTATAAATTACAATGTAACCAATAAAAAGAACTCATACGAATAAAATTTGAAAGAAAAATTACAAAAGCGAATTATATTCCTTTGAATTAAAATACATGATAGTCTTGAAGTTAGTCAAAGGTCGAAACTCGCAAAAAAACGGGCCATGATTCATTATTGGTTAAAATTTAGGCGCGCGCACAGCGCGCTATTCAAATTTTTAGTCCTCTAAATTAAAATACATGAAAGTCTTGAAGTTAGTCAAAGGTCGAAACTCGCAAAAAACGGGCCATGATTCATTATTGGTTAAAATTTAGGCGCGCGCCTAGCGCGCTATTCTAATTTCTAGTATATTTTAAACTGAGTGAAAAAAATTTAATAAAGCAGAAAAAAGGAATGAACTATAAACAATTGTATTATCAATTATTTCTACTATTTATGTATGATTCTACATAGAGTTTAGTATAAATATTCACGTTAGGAATTCACACGTTACATTCTTTTGATTTTCCGGGCAACGACCTCTTGGCAATCGATTAGCGAGCTCACTTAACTCAGTTTCACTCTGAAGGTCTGAAAAATTCGAGAATCTCTAATCGTTTTTTTACTTCCAATTCATTCTTTTGTTGTTTTATTATATTGTTCTGTTTACTTTGTTGGTTCAAAGCAAAATCAATTGATAAATTTATTCCATGCTTATTACGTTCTAAAAATTTTTATTTTTATTTTCAGGTAGATCAAGTTTATACCTAACACTCTGAGTGAAGTAGACAAAACAAGGTATAAGATACATAAGAGTGTAGTATAACCAAGGCATTGAGTGTTTGTAAATAAAACTAACAGAGCAAAGACTCTCGAGGGAACGTTACTAAATTGTTTGTGAAAATCCATGTGGTCCAAGTTAGCAACTAAGTCCGACAAGAAATGGTACTCTATAGATGGATGGACATAGAAGTAATGCAGAATACAACGAGTAAGTCGAAATGGATACTGAACGTTGACAGTTGTCGCTTTGGGAGTAGTCGAGTAAAGTTGTTGAAACGTAAAGACTGTCAAGGGTGAATAAAAGAGCCTCGTGACGGAGGGCTTTCGAACAGCCCTGGCGCGGCTGCGACACTGCACCCCACAAGGGGGTTCTCTGCCGAATACACCGAATCCACCTGCTACCCCTGAGCACAAAAGTCACGTACGTATTTTATATATTTTTTGTTATATTAAATAATCTATGTTTATAATTGAGAGAGAAAAAAAATTTTATTTTCAGCCCATTTCTATTTTAAAATGGGTTTTTATAAATTGAATTTATTATTATTGGAAAGGTCTTATCGTGAATTTGAGCTTTTAAAGATTTTTAAATCTAAATTTATATTATGTTTTTCAGCGATAGTTAATTTATTATAAGTTTTCGGAGTGATCTTAAATAGATTGAAATATGTTTTGTGAATGTAGTTTTTACAACACCTGCTCTGGAAGTTGACTTTTCGAGTGCTGTATGTCATCTCCAAAGTACACAATAGTCGCATACTTGACTATATGTGTTTCGTAAACGCACATGTTCGGTTAAGACCACATAACTACACGGATTTCGCCTAAACTAGACTATTATAGAAATATAACCCCACGAACACAATCTGTGTTTGACTCAGTCCGTCGTTTTTATTTTTCTACACGGAAAGAAAAATATGGGAACCATTCCCATAATTTTATGGGAACAGTTCCCAGGTAATTATAGGAACTGTTCCCATGAATTATGGGTACTGTTCCCATAATTATAGGAAATTTTCCCAGAATTATGGGAAAATTTCCCATAATGATGGGAATGGTTTCCATAATGGTATAAAAATGGTTTCTATAATTATAGGAATGACTCCTATACAATTATAGGAACCATTCCCATAATATTATGGGAAATATTCCCATAATGATTTAGTAATAGTTCCTATATCATTATGGGAACTATTACTATAATGGTATAGGACGGATTCCTAGAACATTATAGGAATCATTCCTATTCCATTATAGGAATCAATCTCAAAATAAAATAAAGATATAATTTTTGTGCGGAGTGAGTTCGAAATGATTCCAATAATATATACACGGAAAAAAAAAATTGGGGCAGCCACATGATTTTCATGTTGTAGGCAATAATAGTTAAAACAACAATAATTAAATAATAATAATAATAATAATAATAATAATAATTTAATAATCTATATTATTAAGAGAATAAGGAAAATTTTGTGGCCAGTGTATTTATGTGATAAAATGGGTTTTTGCTTGGAGTTGTGTCTTTTCAAGGTTTCATATAATTCTCACCAATAGTCAATTTATTATAATAAGAATTTAGGCTGCATTCGAAAATGCTCTGAGTCTAGATACATAATCAAGAAATGACCTTGTATCTGGGAAACTATTGACATTTTCGAAAATATAAGCTCATCCCGATGTTACACTCATCAAGAGCTTTCATTTGAGTACCCACATGCATTTTTGATATATTTTTCATATATACATATATATAATATATATAAATATATAAAATATATAAAAAATTGATGTGGGTACTCAAATGAAAGGTCTCGATAAGTGTAATGTCAGGATGAGCTTATATCTTTAAAAATGTCAATAATTCACAAGATACAAGGTCATTTCGTAATTATTGATATTTTTCAAAATATAAGCTCGTGTTGATGTTACACTCATCAAGAGCTGTCATTTAAGTACCCACATGCATTTTTGATATATTTTTCATATATACATGGGGTATTCCATGCCAAATCGACCACTTTTGAACCCGACCCCTTTAGATTCAGCTGAAACTTTACTTTTCTTTTCTACCCTTTGAAAGACATTTTTGAGAATTTTTTCAAATTTTTTTATCCAACCCAAAAAAGGTTATGAATTTTTCAAAAAAATGGCTTTTTTATTTTCAAATAGCCATAACTTTTTTGAAAATTGACTTTTGGGTACCTTTTTTTTTTAAAAATTTTTGTTTTTGAATGAACTTTTCGAAAAAATATACGAAAAAAATTTAACATGATCAATTATATAAAATAATCGGTTTTTTTAAGTAAAATCGTCAATTTTTCCGAAGTCCGCCATTTTCTTTTTTTTTTTCTCAAAAAAAACTTCAATCAATTTTACAACTATTCCCGCTCATTCCGGACAGGGTCGATTTTTTTTTAATATTTTTTTTATGTAATTGAAAAAAAAATTGTCAAATTTTCAAAAATGGAAAAAATTTTTTTTCCGTAAACATATACTTTATTTCTATCATAAAATAAAAATAATTCAACGATTTTGTGATACAATTCTCAATTTATAGACTTAATTTACGAATATAATGACTAAGTTTAATGATTAATACAGTTAATATCCAATGATTTCACAAAAACAATACGAAAAATCATTTATTAATTTTCTCTTTCGCGTTTCAATATTTTACAAATTCTGTATTCATTAGAGTTCGAAAATTTTTTAACATACAAACAACCATTTTTGTCCGGAATCATACAATGTAGCTGTTGAGTTCCTACAATTGGTTTCGTTTTCAAAAATCAGTCATTTAAATCAGTTAATGCTGTATTATAATCTTCTTCTGCAGAAAACTTAACTATGATATTTGGTAAGTTATTCGGATTAGAAGCCCATTCAAAAAATT